ATTACAGGGGCCTGGTGCCTGGGTAGACACAAAGGAGGTTGGGGGGGGGGGTGGGTGGGGGGGGCACATTTTTCCTTCAATGCAAAACCAAAAACCCATAAACACTACAATGAAAAGAAGGGAGTCAATAGTCAAAACCATTTTGTTTGATCAATTTATTTATGTGCCCAAAAAAATAACATAAGGGTAATAGACAGATAGAGATAAACAAGTGTCAAAATCCTTTATCATAACTCAATACTATATTTCCTCGCAAGTTCTATGCATCAAGCCTTAAAAGGTTGAACTTACAACAGCAACAACTGCAGATAATGCATCACACGTTTAAGAAATGCTGAAAAACAGTTTTTAACTGGTCTCCACATCATTGAATTAGCACTCTAAGCGGAGGCTTGAACGTTCGGTTGAAACTGGACTACGAGGTTGGCTCTCATCAAAGCAGCAGCTCGAAGTTGTGAATTTAAAGAAGCTGGGAAATTCAAGCTAACCTAAGGAAAAAATTCCAAATCCAAATATGCAAAGCTCCGGACTTAATTCTCAACCAGGTTCCGAAACTTTACTCTCCTTTTGACACTACCAAACCTATCATATCCTATGCCAATCTTACTGATCCGTATGCTATTTCAGGCTGTTTTGCAACCTGGTCCCATTTTTTCAGTATGAATGCAACAAAATTGGAAGGGAGCTTAATTAAGTACTTTCGGCAAAATTCAGTCAAGTCTTGTTCCAAGTTGGTGTTATTGTGTAATAGGTTGAGGATTTGTTGAACCCATGGGGAAGGTTGGAGGTCCTTCTTGGAATCAGTCGTGACGAGGTCTGAGAGGTCAGTGATGGGTTGCACCCATTCTGGTGGTGGCAGTCGACTGAAGGAAGATACCCATTTAAGAAGGATGATTGAATGTGAATTTGGATATAGGTCTGAGGGATTTGACAATGAAAATTTGAGATTACTGTTGAAAGGAAAGTGATGGATTCGAAGCGTGGCTGAGAAGGGGATTTTGAGGAGTTTTTTCATCCGGGTTTTGTTCACTGATGATGATAGAATTAGGTCATCCATTTTTGTTTTGGAGGGGGAATTGAGAGTTAATTGTTTTAGTGGTTACTATAATTTCCCCATCGTCACAGCTTACCCATTAAACTTTACAATGCTTCCGAATAGTCATTCAACTTATCTCCGTTTCACTAAAATGGCTATCGGATGGATTCCGTCCGTGAACGTGTTGACGTGGACGTCGGGAAGCTGATGTGGCCGTTAAAATTGGTAACATTTGGAACACGTGGACTACGAACCCCCCAAACGCTACCTTAGCTACAGTAAAAAAGGAAATAAAAGAAAAAGGAAGAGTTAATTGATAAATTGAAACCCGTTCATCCCAAAATGAAGAACCAGAGCCCTAGCCGTTGCACCCAAATCCTTCCACCCAAGCAAACGTGCCTCAGCCTACCCAACCCCAACACTTTATTTAAGGGTCTCCCTGAAAAGAAGGCTATAATTTACTTAAACATTTTCAAGCTTTGATTTTTTTGGTTGCTTACAGGAAATATAGAGCAGGGTTTTGAAGTTTCTTGCTCAATTGGAGCAAGTTTTGCATGAAGATTGAATTTTTTAGCTAAAAATTTTAAATTTGAAGGGCCTAATGGAGATGGAGAATGGTGATAACAAATCTAAAATGGGAGATTATGAAGTAATTGAGCAGATTGGGAGAGGTACGTTTGGAGCAGCATTTCTTGTTCTTCACAAAACTGAGAAAAAAAAGTAAGCATTTCTCTTCGAAAGTTTTATATATGGTTTAATATGAATTGAAACCCGTTCATCAATTAACTCGTCCTTTTTCTTTTTTTTTTCTTTTTTGTTTTTACTATAGCTAAGGCAATGTTTGGGGGTTCGTCGTCCACGAGTTCCAGATGTTACCAATTTTAACAGCCACATAAGCTTTCCGTCTTCCACGTCAACACGTTCACTGATGGAATCCATCCGATGACCATTTTAGTGAAACGGAGATAAGTTGAATGGTTATTCAGAAGCATTGTAAAGTTCAATGGGTAAGACGTGATGATGGGTAAAGTATAGTGGCCAGTGAAACTATTAACTCGGGAATTGAGGAAGGAATTGTTAACACTAATCTCATTCATAAAATGGAGAGAAAAATTTATCTGTTGGTCACTGAACTTTTTAGCAAAATCTCAATTAAATCCATAAAAGTTTGATATCAATTGGGTCACTGAACTTCAATTTTAGCTATGTTTGGCCCATGTATAAACACCCAATTCACACCCACATTTTATCTATACATTTCGAAAGATCCACAAATATGTTCATTTATTAATCACTCATTTTATGTATTTATAATTCAAAATGTTTATAAACACTTTCAAAATATACTTTCAGCTTATGTCTGTTGGGATTCTAAGTAAAAATAACTAGTTTCAACAATATATTTTATGAAATTCATAACTTTTTAACCATACAATTCACCAAATTTTACTAAAATATACTAAAATCTTATTTTAATCAACAAAAAATAGGGGCTTAGTTTTAAGAATAATTTTTGGCGGGGCTTTGCTACATGTACATTATGGTGT